TGCATTCTGACAAAGAGTGAGGTTCACACAGGCAGATTTTTAAATCTTGCAGCTGCATGTGACAAGGCAAATAAACTACATCTGTCATCTTCGCATGGCGAAAGAACGGAAGAATCAAATTTCCACTGGCACAAAGTGATATTGGTAGACAATTCCCTCTGATTTCTCTTGGGTTAAAAAAGAATACAACAGAATTTGGGACGTTTTTCTCAAGTTGAAAAGTGTTAAAACTGTGAGTGTTGGAGACAATGATGAATATCTTCATTTGTGGGACCGAAAATGACTCATATGAACTTATAAATGATTGAGATGACTTGACTCAAGGATAGGTACACAAAACACACTGCTGTGGACTTTGGGGAGGGTAGATGTTCAGAAGCCAAGTTCATTTCTAAGCTGCTGAAGCCAGAGGCAAACGTATTGCTTTTGGGTAGTGAAATATAACAGCATTTTGAGGCCTGTCACTGGAAAGAAGGTGTAGCCTTATTGAATACAAAGAGATTTCTGCTTCCCAACAGTGCCACTGCTAGCAGCAAATGTTTATACTATACAACAGGAGAGTCTGAAGGAAGACAAGACATCAATGTTCAATTCAAGAGCACAATGGCAATAAGGAGTATTCTGAATGCATGAATGTAGAAACGAGAGGGCATGGCTCATTAATCTGGAATTCTTTGAAGAGATAATTAAACTAGTGGATGAAGGCTACTCAATGGATATAATTCACTTGGGAAGTCAGAAACCCATGATATAGTGACATAGTTCAGTTTGTGAAGCTTCTGCAAAAGATTATAGTTCATGGAATTAACGAGAAAAATAGTTGATTGCATTGAAAAGTCATTTAACAAAGACAAGCAGAAGGCATTGATAAAAGAGACAAGAAGCTTTGTGTCGGGAAGTTCCCTGTGGAGTTTCGCAGAAGCCTCTCATGGGTGCTCTGACGTTCATAAACAAGATGGAGCAGAGTTATTTTTTCATGTTTTGATAATACCAAGTGCGGCTAGGCAATGGGTACAAGGGAGATGATAGCATTTAAAGAGATTTGAAGGAGTTAAGCAGATGGACAAAAGAATTGCAGATGTATGTTAATGTGGACAAACGCCAGGCCACAAAAGTGTGTACAATTTGTACAATTTGTGTAGACGTTAGTGTGCATTAAAATGCTGCCTCATGTTAGTGGAGGGTTCTCTAATAGAACCATAGAAATTTATAGCACAGAAGAAGGCCCTTTGGCCCATCATGTCTCTGCTGGATATCCAAAGATTAGCGTACTAGGTCCTCACAAGGGAAATGTTTGCTCAAGATTTAAAAATTATTAGTTTTTGTATCCATTTTTCCCTATCCATCCATTGTTGCATCTTGTGTGTGCAAACCACATGTGGGCTGTGGCTCACATTAACGATATGCTTTCAGCAACAAGTGGGGAAAATTGAAGAAAAATTAATTGCAACTGATTTTAACTGAGCAACATTAGAATTCAAATTGCTATGACCCGGTGACAAACATGAATGTCATAATAATAACTGCTTTCTTCTTTGTGAGTCACTGTGGGGATGTTTTAAACCTTCGGCTGCCAAAGGCTAAGCTGTGAAGTACCGTCTCCCCCGAGGTGAATTCAAGTGAAGAGTGCAGCAATTTGGCCAATTTACTCTCCCTTTAAGGTCTAATGTGACTAGATTTTCTGGACTCCCTGACTTCACTCAGCAAGACTTATAATGTGTTCTTTCTCAGTAAAATGTGAGTATCCCAGTGAAATGCTGATAGCATTAGAATGCTCATGCTTCTTTGACCTTGCTTTATCACACTAATGTCATACGTAACTTGGAATATTGCACAATTTTTGTGAGAAGTGGAGTAAAATATTAGTTAATATTTCATCCCTTCAATTCCATCTTTCAGAGAGAAAGCATCTAGTTTTTCCACCTAGTTATGTGTTCTCAGTATGAAGAGATCTTCCTGAACTGTGTATTTTCTGTACTTCTGTACATGATTCTGCTTCATATAAAAGAAAACGTGCTGGTTATATAAGACTGACCTAACTGTACAGCGCCTTGGGACGTCCTCCCGACGTGAAAGGCGCTCAATAAATGGAATCTTGTTGCTGTTGTTGTTGTTGACCGAATTCTGAGGAAAAAGATCTCTAAGCTCATTGCACTGTCTCCTATTTTGACTTTTCCAAGACCTTGAGACTATAGATTTCCTCACCTCCTGCACGCTTCACTTTTTCCTACAATCTGTAGTATTTTAAAACCCACCCTTGTGGTCACCTAACATCCTCTCCTTGGCTTATTTTGTTTTTCTAGGAAACGTTTGTCAACCTCAGCTGGTGTACTGCCCAAAAGGCCTTGGCTCTTTACTTAGGTTCTCGTCACTGTCCCTGTGAGTATTGGAGCTCCATCAGTGCCTTGTGAAGCCTTTAACATGGGCAGCATTAAACAATAATGCTTGGTTTTGATTTAGAGCCTTATCACATCATTGAGATGATTCAAAGCTCTTCACAGGATATAGTGTAAAATGGATTCACTGTGCATTTTGTGGGCAAACCATGGCAGCCAGTTGCGCACAGCAATGTCGCACATACAAACAACGGTGGAGCGAGTGACTAATTTTATTTGGGGGATTGTTGGTCAGGACACCGGAAGAAACTCCCTTCTCTTTTCGAATAGTGCCAAGGGATTTTTAACGTCCACCTGAACAGGCCGACAGTTTAACATCTCATCCAAAGGATGGTACCTCCAACAATGTAAGATCCTTCCAACGTTGGACTATATGAACCATATGAATCCTGATGTTGGGCTTGAACCCACGACCTTCTGGCTTATAGGTGAGAATGCTACCCCTGCACCAGGCCTGACACACCTTTCACGTATAATGCCTTTCACGTCGGGAAGATGACCCAAAGGTGTCCTGGGACACACTCAAGATGAGAGAAAACTGGATACAAGTGGGTGTTTAAGTACAACAAATGTGAAGCGCTTTGAGACGTCTAGAAGACGTGAAAAGCCTATATCAAATGCAAGGATTATTATTATTATTATTAAATAATGATCCACCATTATCAAAAGATGCCATAGTGCCTTGCATGTGAGAGTCTTATAATGGGCGGGGTAATGTCACCGTATTATGGACAGTATTTTAAATATGCTATATCATAACACGGAAAAGAGGTCAATGCATCATGTAAAATAAAGCACTTCTAATGGAATCGACCTAACTCAGTTGCTCAATCACGCAGCATTCTTCATTTACATGGCCTGATGTTACCCATTATTCTTCATCGTGAGTCCTCTATTTATGACTATTAGGAGTAATAATGGTGTGATATGACCATTGCAGCAATTAGTAAGGAACTGTGTTTGATTCTGATTGAAGCTGGGCTGGGCAGATCAGGTTAATTCTGCGTGGTGCGGGCTAATATATACACATTTGGGAATTAGTGGAAAGATAAAACCTATTTGCATTCACTTTGCTGTGTAGAGGACCAGATAAATAGCATTAATGCATCTTACAATTAAAATGCACTCTGCTCAATTATTAATCTATATGTAAGTGTCACATGGCACACTACAATGCAACACTGATTTATGAAGGTATTTTCTCTTTGTATTCTGCAGTTACAAATACTTAAATTTGTAGAATATTCATATTGCTGTTATCAGTATGTTGTATGTGTACAGTTCAAAATCAATTATCTTGTAAATATTGTAAGCATTTTATATTTAAATTTTGCTTTTTAGTGACTGACGTAATGTAATTGCTGTTGTATATTTCCCAGAATTTATGTAAAGAGGTTAATGTCACTGTTATTGTCAGTGGTGGAAATGTCAGAAATTCCTCCTTATCTAAGTGGTCCAGAATATTGATTTGAAAACCTTTTTCGTGGACAAAGTAAAATGTCTGACTATCTGATTATATCTACCAATGTTTGAATTAACACTACTCTAAATCATCAAAGGAACAGTTATTCCAAAAAATAATTAATGCGATGTCACAAGTCACAAATATGTTTAAATGATTGAGTAAACCAAATTCACTTGTGTGAGGTTAAACTATCTGCTACTTGCTCTAATGCTGTATAATCCAACCTGACCTGCCTCCATGCTGCACCACAGATCGTTCCCCAGATAACAGCTGTAGCAGCTGACAATCAATCCATCAACGGCCAATATAAATGCACAGCACAAACATGAGACAAAACATCAGGGCAGCTAGATGTTATTAAAAAAATGAACATGGAAAGCAATGTCTGAGCAAGCTTGACATCAACTAAAGCAAAATACCAGAATATTGTACACAGAAGGGGGCAAGCAAACAAGAAATCCCACAAGACAGGGAAGAAGTGGAGGTTTGACAACCAGTTTGAGAGGAAAGTGGATCTTGCAATACTACAGATGAAAGGACACAAGCGCAAACAGAAAGCAGATAGAATACACAAGACACAAAAAACTTACCTCATCCATGGATGCTAGTAATCACACACCAAAGAGCAGTTCCAGCAACTAACCCAACCCACAGTGGACATCATTCTGCAAACATCTACCCTCCATTCAAGAAGTACTCACTTATGGTTACCATATTCTGCTCGTTTAATTGAAGAAACAATAAAAATATTATTTGTTTTAAATAGAAATCTGCATGAATGGCCTCCTTCTGCACTGAAGATTTCTGTGTTTCTAAATAAGAGAAATAATTCATTCAGGAATAATATTTGTCACTCAATCCAATTGTGGAGTTATACACTCACTGGAATGTTTATTTCCCACACATAATCAACTAGCATTTCCTATGTTATATATTATTTATAATTATCTATTCGGTAAATGACCAAAGAACAAATGATACATGTACAGTGTGGTATAAATAAACTTGTTTTCATAAAACAAATCTAGAATAATTCATCCATTTAAGATCTGATTGCTACAAAATTTGTAACAGTAGAAGCAAAATGACGAAAGTGGCCAGATTCGGTTTTGATGAAATATTTGGCGTCATCTACTTACGTGGAATTTTATGGAGTTCATTCATAAATTTGTCCTTCAATTTGGAAACGGCATCTTCCTTTCCTCCTCCAGGGCTAACCGCCTCTGTGGCATTTCCTGGTGTGACAGAGGGTGCAGATGTAACAGGGGGTGCTGCCAGTGCCTCACTGTGACCTTCATTCAGCTTCATGCTGGGCTGGGCAGATGCTGACAGACAAAATTAAAATGTTGTTAAAACTGACAGCTCAGCTGGGAACATCATGTCAGAGGCTGGACACACATCCACTACATTTACCTGTTTGCTTAGCTGAATAAATAATGCATCATTGACATGCTAATTCATGTCGGTTCATTTCATATTTATAATCCAGCAGAATGGAGAGTTGAACGTCCCACCAGGCAGAACTTTCAGTCACACATCGTTTTGGCTCTAACTGCTTTGAAAGATCATTTGAAATAAATTGTTCCGCGCTGTTCATCTGCATGAGCAATCCCCACATTTTTAATTATTAGTTTAATGAGAAACCCATCATCCACATGCGATGTGCCCTCTAAAAGGTACATGCATTGATTTTATAATGTGTTTCAATCACTGCATTACACAAATCAGAAAATCATGTGAGAGGTTCATTCAAAAAAGGCCTTTGGGCTTAGTTAATCTCAGTCTTTCAGAAGACCCTTCCTGCTCTCTTCCCATTACAGCATTAAAGTTTTTTTTAAATGAGTCCAGTGTCCTTGCCTCAACCACCCTTCCTGGTAAGATGTTTCATCATTACTAACCCTATGGTAAGGAAATATTTCCTAGTGTTTGTCCAGAAATTGCCCTTTGTAACTCCAAAGCTGTGTTCTCTTGCTTTGCTATCTTGGTACATCTATCTTAAATAGAAGTTGCAAATGGGATTGAGAAAGTAAACCTAGAACATTACTTTAGGATGGAATGGAAGAGTTTTTTAAGAGGCAGAAGAGGCATTTTTACCTGCGTGTCTGCTTTAACACTGGGAAGCAGTCATTGAAAGTATGTAATGACTGTGCTGGGTTAGACTAGACGTTATGGAGATGTTTGTCTCCTGCCATGATATGTTCTTAGTGACTGTGAGCACTCATCTATCAATCTATCATGGAAAAAAAATATGTAAAACACTCTGACTCCTGCCCTGAGAGAAAGCTAAATGAGCTCAATCATGAAACAGCTTGATCCTGTAAAGGGAAGATGGAAGAGTCGGTATTCTGGAAGGATGAGATGAAACGCTCGAAGGACCTAATTCATTGGAACTTCTCTCTTGTGATCTTGTGTGCGTATAAAAAATAATCGAATGGCAGGTTAATGCAAAGCAGAAAATCTGCTTCTGTCATAGTCATTAATTTTAATAAAATGAAATGCAACCACAGAGTGAAAGTACATTTATTACATTAGGATTGGGCAACATTTACACCATTTAGGGGAGGCATTTGGCTGACAGTGTATCCCTTTTTGTTTCTTTTTGTTAAAGGCTGTTTCCTGTGACATTTACTACAAACACCAGTAGACTGTTAAATTATTTAGGTGGTTTTCATGGTGTTACAGAAGTATTTCAACATCTGTTGCTGGGTTAACTCTTAAAGTTCCACTCATTCTCTTCTCTTTGCACTATTCTACTGGTGCACTTTTTAATCTAAAAAGAAAATAAGTTATTCATATATATTATATCTCCCCCTCAAAATTTAGACATCATGGTGACATTTAAGCTAGTGTAACATCTCACACGGCAAATTGAAGGTATTCACCAACACGTAACACTGAAAATATTTTGCTTTCATTTCTACAATGAATTGCAAACATAAATCAAATAATTAGTTCTCTCAATAAATAATTAATTTAAACATGAGATGAAGTTTGGCTTTGCTTTGATGAAATAAATGTAATTAAATATTGACTGCAGGTTGTTCCAGATCTAATTTACAATGTACTCCACTGTAAGCAGTAAGATTCCACTGAAGCCGTCTCTATTTTGTAGTTATTACAAGATCGATTTGCGTGAAGAAGATTTTTCAGTCTCTTCTGATTTCATCCTTTCAAAATACCCACCCTACGTTTTCCCATCACAGCAGTAAACTGTTCTCTGCATGAGTCCAGTGTCCTGCCCTCAACCATCCTTCTGGTAATGTGTTCCAATCATTTTATGTGATGAACACAATCTCAGTGTTGTTTACACACAATAATGTGTACTCTACTTACTGCCATTCTATGGAATACAATGATTTCTATGCTACAGAGGGGATAGGTTGAGAGGGACATAGACAGAGAATTATATAAGCAAGATTATTAAAAGACTTGAAGAAAAGACAGGTAAACAGAATTAAATGTTTCAGGAGACTTATTGTCTGGACAGACCTGATGGGCTAAATGGCCTGTTCCTGGTCCTATCTTTCCATGTTCCTAATGGCTATTATTATGCATCCTCATGTTTATCATGTGCTTTCAGATAAGACAAATCTAATTCCCAGTAGATAAGATAACAAGTAATAACAATGTGTGGGAGCTGCCAATAAAATTAAAGGAACAATATTTATAAAACTAGACTAACCGTCATATTCTCAGTGTTGCTGAAAAAGATGATACAGGCTAAAATCAATGTACTGACTGCAAAGAAAGAAGATGTTGGTTCTGAAATAACCCTCCTGAATCAGCCGACGTTTCAGGAAAGGGAATTATCACTTCAGATCATGTCCTCAACAGATTCACTGAGGTGGTTGGACACTGAACATCCATTAGTAGCTCCAGTGGTCCGTAAAATATCCAGACATGGTTCCCAACTATCACTTGCCTGTACTATCTCAACTATTAAAACTTTATAGAGGTCTTTCAGGTGCGTAATTGATCGCCAAGGAAAGAGGAGATGAGATAGCAAAGTAAGCTGGCTTTCACAGAACTCTAAACCTCAGATATTTGCTGCAGTTGGGAGGCTAGCATGTTTAACCTCCTTCACTTGTAATGGGAAAAGCCCCCATCCCTCAGGTCCAAGGTTTTAAAGAGTGGTCTCAAGTAGCCTCACTGCTTATACTCATGGTCTTGAAGGAAAAAATTCCTTCAAAAAATAAAATAAAATAATATATCATAAATTGGTCACTCAATCCACAACTGTTTGTGGGACACTGCTGTGCGCGATTGGCTACTGCGTTTCGCCCACAAAATACACTGTCAATTCACTCTATAGTATATTCTATGAAGCGCTTTGAGATGTCTCAAAGACGTGATAAGGCGCTATATCCAATGCAAGGATTATTATCATTATTATTACTCAAACTTATAGAACACAAAGTCACCTTGCTAAAGAATTATTCACAGTATTATAAAGATAATGCTGAATTTAAATAATTGATTCAATCACTGCAAGTGATTGTTGCTCTATGCTGAAAATATCTAAGTACATATACAGCAAAGAAAGAGACAACTGAGCTCCTCAAATCAGCACTGGTGTTCTACATGAGTTACCATATCTAATACCATTCTCTCATATCCTTTGATATTCTTCTTTTTCAAGCAAAATTTATGGATTCTCCCTGAATTCTGGTTTCTGAGAGAATTCCACATTCCAAGCATTCTCTGTGCAAAGATGGAACATACATGATAATAATCCTTGCAGCAGGTGGTAGTTCGGGATGTTCCAGACATTTGCACTTGAAGAAAATTACTTTGAATTTCAAAGGAAAGATGCATAACTAGAACCTGCTCCTTTTCTACCTAATACCAGCAATAAATTCAGGTAGTGTGAATTCATAGAGCTACATGGAGTTTATGCTGCACCGAAACAGGAAAAATAGCAAAAGAAAATACTCAGAGAAATGAAAGTATTCTTTACATCTATGTTTCCACGCAGACATATAGAAGTCCCAGGGCAAAGGCATACTATTACCTGTTTAAAATTCACCTGTGAAAAATGTACAGCACAAGTTGATGTCTATTTATGTCGTCATTTGCCTCCTTCAAGACCCTTCTCAAGACCCTCCTCTTCGACTGTGCCTTCGGTCACCCTTTCTTCCCTGCCCTCCACCCTCCCCAATCCCGACCCCTAGCTCGGGCCCGAAACACTGATTGTCCAGTGCCTTGGGATGTCATCCTGATGCGAAAGGCGCTATACAAACACGTTGCATTCAAGCCGAATATTTTCCTTGCACTGAAATGCACAGTTGATTCAGTTCTAGGCTTGCGTTCACGGCAAGTTCACTGTCGTGTGAAAATTGACTGAATATTGACAGTTAATGCATAAAAAGTGTGTGCATTTGACTGTGCAAAGTTAACAGTAACATTCAACCAATCATTTCTAAAACTGTTTTTGAAGTCGGGGAGAGAAAGGTGAATTGACACTAAACGTTGTGACTTTGAAGGTGTGTGCTTCTAATGGGAGACATGAAGAAACTGACTTTGAAGAATTGAAAGAAACAAAATATTCATCGTCTCACTGAAGGACACAGAGATGATCAAGGTTCAGTGATTCAGCCAATGCACTGGAAGAGAAATGAAGGTTGCGCAAAGGCATGCAATTTGAGGGAAGTTAATGGATATAGAGTGAATCTTTAGGAAATGTTGATAGGGTGAGGCTCTGTGAATAGACTAGTGAATAAAGGTATTACTTAGCAAACCATGCAGACAGTAGGGTTGCAGGTTTAATTCCTGGTCTGTGTTGAGCTAGCTGATCTTAGCTGGAGCTGCAGTGCAACATTACAACTACAACTAGTGCATCCAGGCTACATGTTGATGGAGACGGAAAGCATTTTGGGTTCCCATTCCTAAATCTTAAAATAAGTATGCACATTAGAAAGCTAGGTAATAGAATGAGGCTCGATGAATATGATGTAGTCAAACAGCTGGCTGACATTCACCTGCATTTATGTTGTGCCTCACACATGAATAATAATCACTTGGATAGGAACCTATTGATTTCTATGGAACTATACCCAAGCAAGAGTCACCTCTGGAATGTCCATGTACAGGTGGGATGCATGGAACTCTCAGTTTGGTTTGGATACTCTTGAGTAAGGTGATGGGTTTCCACATGTGTCAGACACCCGGCTGACCAAAAAAAAAAGCAAGAGGCAGTTCCTTCAGAAGAGGATATTTAGGAGAGAAAAAGGGAACTGCATTAGCTCATACACGTGTTGATAGAGTTTCAAGATAGAAGTCGGGAAATAGGAATCCTGCACTGATTTAATAAATCATCAACTGAAGT